TTCTGTCTGTGTTACTCATAGCACGTGCCTATATTGTGTTCTATATCGAACATTTTTTCTATCGTTATCAAAGAAGGTGTACCGTCAATAAATATCGATACCGTTTTATCACCCAGGCCTACATATCACCCAACCCTAATGCAAACCACATTTTCCAAAGCTTGATGTATATACAAGGTATTAGTTTAGTACACTTTCATTATCCCAGCCACAGCCTAATCACAATGAAAGTGTGAAAACTGCATTTGAAATTGGAAATCTGCTCCATCAACACAGACATCACTACTTTGCCCATGCTTGTCTCCATAAACTCTTTGGAAGACTATGCAAAATCGATTTCCCAATTTGACCTCTCTATTTATCGTTGAAGAGTAAAGCTCTCCTCTGATGTTCTCTGATGTTGGATAGGCCCTGTGGAGAGCAGCTTCATCCTATTTGTCAGCTTCCTGGGGTGACCCATAGTTCACTAAACTCTATCACTCTAGACACTCGCCTCAAGCTCACATATCTTTTGTGAGGAAGTAAAAAAGGCCAAAAGACATACAGTACAATGCACAGTTTTCCTGAATGGTCTAATTTGAAGACTGGCAGGTGAGTGGCTTAGTACTATCCTCACCACAGCATGTGTTAAAAAGGAATGAAAACTTTTTATTTTTGCTTTTAGCAAGATTTTCAATGAATAACTTTCAGACCATTACTCACACAAAGCTATTGGATGGCTTTAGAGGGCTTGGAATATAATAAATGACTCGTCTGAACTGCTTTTTTTAATATTTTTGGTCAGTCTACTTTGGCTGTAAAAAGCCACTAATAATTTATTAACAATGTTTAATGTAATCTTCTGCAAATCTCTAAATGAATGTTTATTGTACACTGTAATGTTGTGATGCCTAAATTCAGTTGTAACAAGTAAAACAATTTATTTTAGTAATTATTTTATTCTTTTTTAGAAAAAAAAATATGTTCAATTATTAAGAAAAAATAATATACATTTTAATATCGCTCAAAATTATTGCTGGCTTATATGTATTGGCTAGAATTTTAATATTGCTGCATTGCTAGTTTGAAGAGACATGAGAGTTAGCAGATGATGAAGTGAGGGGGTGAGCTGTCCCTTTAAATAAAGAAATTGTCAAATATAAGCAAACTGCAAATATTACGGGGGAAAAAACTGATGGTCATAGAAGCAGGTTCCCTGCAGGTTTGCAGAAGTCTAGGAATGACTCACCACTCAATGCCGGTGAGGATTTGCATAGAAGTTTAGAAACCGAACTGCACTGGCATTATGAAGTACAAAAATAGGACAAAATGGCTTGTAAGCCAATTATGTTAACAATATACAAACCCACTGCTTTGCAACATCATGTTTCTGTTACATTTTGCAACTTGTCCCAGACCCTGCTTAAGTTAAGTTCATTTAAGGAAAGGAAACAACACTCACCAGCCCATCACAGTTGTTAATGGCGACAGAGGCTCCAGGAACATCCGTGATGTCCCCTATAAAAGTGCAGTCAGTTTTCAGCAACTCTCTTCTGAGTATTCTCTCCGAGTTGGTTCCATTCTCAGTCGCATTCCCAGCTATTTCGATCTCATCGTGCCATTCCACCATGGCTCCTGGAGCCACTAATCTTTGGTTGGGATGTAGTCGGAGGTGGAATTCCTTGCCAAAGACAGTGATGTTAAAGAACAGCCTGTCTACCGCTTGTGCTAACCCTTCCAAAACTTCCCGCTTCACACGCTGCTTGTGATTGGCCGAGAGAAGATGCGAGAGGTAGTGTCCCTCTGCGTCTGTACTGATGGGAGTAATGAGGCCATATTCTTTCAGACGGATCTTCAACAAGTCTGACAAAACAAAGACAAAAGTAAAATTTCTCTTAATTTTATTAAAAGTTCATTAGAAAAAATTACACATCTCATGTTAAATGTAAATACATGCTGGATTTCAAGCCCTGATGGATAAAAAAAAAAAAAATTGTAATAAAAAAAATTGTGTGGTTATGAAGTCTACTCAATGGCTGTTTATAGCCATTAAACTGCCTCTTACATTTCAATGCCATTTTATTTGAATGCCTGGCTTGCCTCTTGACATATGAATGATGGTTTGCATGGAAGAAAACATTTCAAATAGAAAAATGTGCCAGAGCCAAAAACTCTTTGCCTTGCAATTTATTATGACAGTTTTGGCTAAGCAAGATATAAAACGGTTTACCTCCCATGACTGACTGTTAGGGCTTATACAAAAATAAAACAATTCATTCAGCCATCAATTCAAATAGAACATTTTTAGGTCAGCTATCTAATATTGAGGCTTCCTAATATCTGTTTGACACTGCTTAAAGAAGACGCAGCCCTTGAATCTTGTTTAATCGAATAAACATCCAAACAAGGTCATATAAAGAAGGCATACAATATTGTTCTTTCAAAACATTAAATGCTTTCCCTCTGCATATCACTCATTATGTTATAACATTTTTGTTAACAATAATACAATAATTTATGTCATTTACTGCTACTAGATTTAATGAGTTTCAACATAGAGTCAGTTTTAGCATGATTTACTGCATCAGTAATTAAACTGAATGTGGTTGAAAAAGTGCAATGAACTCATCAATGCAGGTTGTGATTTGACACCATTTTACTCTGCTTAAAAATTTAAGGGATCAAGAATGAGGTTACACAGTGTATAATTAATGTCTTGAGGTTTTCCGACTGTTCATTAAAAGAGAGAGAGAGAATGATTTCTTTAGCTAATTTATTATAAGTCTAACTGACTAAACAATATATCATCCTGTGCAATTTGCGTGTCATTCCCAACTTTAACTAGCAAACTATTAAAGGTGTTAAAGTCTGTTCAAAGTTATTTAGAGATTGATTTGCATCATCTCTTAGAGTAACCTTAGGGCTAGTTCTGTACTCGCTGTTAAACAGTTCTGATTAATTTTCTCATTAAAATATTTGTCATTAAACATTGAGAGGAGAAGATGCAAGTGATAACAGTTAAACCCCACATGACTTGGCAGAGTGCTGACTCTAGTTTGCACTTTGCAGCTGTTAATAAATTATTAATGAAGCATCATAAGTTATACAATTACTTTTTCACCTTAAAAAGAAGTTTAAGAAACAAAAAGAGCATACAGATATCGGAAAGGACCGCAGGGCTGTATACTTTACCTTCTTTATCTATACTTTCACCAGCCTGCAAGAAAAAAAGAGAACAAAGAGATAAAGAGACAATGCATGAAACATGCAGTTAAGACATTTACAAAAGACTATTGGTACAAACAGAGAAATCATAAGGGATGTAAAACTGTCATGAGAATATCCCAATCTGACATTCAACTTTCAATTTCATTTGTGGCAAGCCATCTTAACATGCATATCTTTAAACAAAATAGTATCTATTTTTGTTACTACTACTTAATTTTAATTACTAGGACCGGTGGCAGAGGAACAAGTAACTCATCCATTGTTATTGTGGTTCAGATATCAACTATTCACTTCCTATACTAGTTTTACTAGCATTAGGTGCCAGTACATTTTTGTTACTACTAACCATCCAAATAGTTACTAGTATCTATTTCAGCTTTACTGATACTTATTAGACTTTAGTATCCCATCTCAACTGTTATTAGTAACATTTCTTATCTAACTTTTTAACTAGTTACTAGTCAGTATGGCTACTTTATAGATTGTATAGATTTATAGATGTAAAGTTAAAAAAATGTTACTTGTAACAAATACTACACAAACTGGAATAGTAACTAAAAAGTACAGATGAATAAATTGCTCTGAATAGTCAATATCTGGACCTCAGATACACAAAGAATTCTATAGTGAAAAAATATGCAGTGTGTTATCAGTAACAGTGTAATAGTTACCAGAAGCAATGCAATAAAGTACTAGTTAATCAACAAGTACTATTTATTACCTGATAAGTTACTTATCTATAAGTTATTTGTTAAAAGGAATAGATGTGAAAACAGCTTGCCATATTTCACGTGTTTTCTGACATGCCAACTTTTCAGACAGTTTGGCTATTGGTTTGACAGCTGGGAACACTCTCCTAAAATGCGCAAGTTTCTCTCTTGTATTTGGTTAATACGTGTCTTTAAGTACTATGCATAATACGAACAGGCAGAACAAACTCAATATACTGGTATGGGTATTCTTATAACCGGCTTAAATTTTAATCAAATTGATATGAATTCGAATCGTGTTCCAAGCATGAGGACGACTGTCACACCTCACACATCTCCCGCGAGCTTTCACTTACAGATCACTTTCTATACAACTTTACATGCATAAACAGTAAATCATTAACACTTACCAGATGAGCTGAAGTCAGATTTACTACAACTCCTACCATTAGTAACCTAAGTGACAGGACAACCATCACGAGTCGGGTTTTCTCTACTGAAAGACGAGAAACAGAAACTATAATCCAAATGGGATGTTTCAGTACGCGCCTGTCTACTCTAAAATTGTCGCGCACTACTTATCCTCAAACAAGTGACCTTAAAGACTGCTTAAAAGTAAGCCAAGAGTAATTAATAGAGTTTAAAGTTGTAGAACTTGGGTCAATACGTCAGTTTGGTAAACTTATAGGAAAGACATCCCTCTGAAGAGTTGTGGTGGTTAAGTTGAGTTGAGCTGGCTGGACAGAGCCTTGTCTGAGCTCAAACCTGGCCCTTCGCGCTGACTAATAAACTACAGACCAGCCCTGACGCGTGACGTCATTTTCGTCAAAGCACATGGTGGAAAATAAGAAGAAGAAAAGGAATATGCAAAGAAAACTCATGGCGATGCTTTTCTCAAAGCGAGCTAGTGTGAAAATTGTAATGAAGCTAGTTAGAAGAGGTTTGAGATGTAGAGTTTGAAATCTCCTGCAGATGTTAAATCCAGCTGCTCCTGTTACTTGGCAGGTAATAGTATAATATAATAATATTGCGTGGCATTAAATGTCACTGGTTTTGATTTCCATACATGTTAAAGTTAAAATTTATTTAGTGTTCATTTTTATAGTTACTTTACTCTTCCGGTGACTTGACGCAGCTTTCATTAAAACAGAGATAATAACAGCTCACTGTGCTTGAAAATTCTGTTATGTTTTTCCTCCCTTTCTGATGAGGAACAGAAGGGAGGAACACAGCAGAGAATACAATCCTCTCCATCTCAATCAACGTTTTGTTTAATGGCCTTCTACAAGGTCTTTATATCAGCCAAATTGGCTAAGACACAAATACTGGGAAATGCAACTAATTTCCGCTAATGCAAATCATTACTGCTGTATTGTCATTTCTTCATATGAAGGTGTCGTGTCATATGTGTGTATACTTCTGAGAAAAGAAAGAAACTGCTAAGAACAGACTATTTTATTACCGTTTGGAGGGTTGGCTCAGTTTCCAGTCCTGAGTGTATTAACAGAGACAACCTTTTTCTCAGTTTTCTTGACCCCTTTGAGGTCGGATTCTGTATCACAAATTTTTTTAGCACTTAAAAAAAAAAAAAAAAAACATCTTTGCCAGATAACATTGGGCTACTATTGTACATGTGTCAAGCATTTACTTACATGTAAGCCCATTTGATTTCTCATATCTATGCAAAGACCTAACACTTGCAGTTTTTACCTTTGTTTCTTCTCTTCCGAACTATTCCAGGTCTTCTTGATGCCTTCAAGGCCATGTGTCAGTTCAAATGCATTACAGGTGAGTTTTAAGCAGAGGTAATCTGATCACCTTCACATCTGCAGACCTCATGTTTTCCCTCATCCCTATTTAGGCATGACCTCCACTGTCTGGGTTTGCTCCCAGACCATATCACTCAATAATAGCCCACGTTCAGTGTCGACTGTCTATAATAAAGCAGTTTCCATCTAGTGACATTTTTTAGCATGTTTTATAAACACATACCAATGTTCTTATTGTAAACTGAGAATTTAGAAGTGTGTATAACTGTAAAATGACTGTAAGATATGAAATTTCTTTTCTTAAAATGACTGTAAGATATGAAAAGTTTTTTTAAAAACTTTTTTTTTTTTTTTGTGAAATGTTTGTATGTATTTCTTGAATGAAATATCTGTAGATGTGACTCTCCTACAGAGGCGTCATGCCCATTCAAAGTGAGCACGTGCCCCCTCAGATTTTTGAGCCAAGTGGATTTTGAATGCAGCTTCCAAAAGACAAAAAATAGCCGATTAATATTTTCTATATTTAATACAATCACACCGGCGTGATTAGAACGTTTAGTACATCATATCATCAGCTGCTAAATTCAAATCTGTGTTCGCTGGCTGGCGCTGAGCCTACGTGTTTTTACAGCTCTGCGCATTATAATCAATCACACACATTGCTGTTGAGTTTATGAATGCAATGACCAATCAGAGGTGTTCCGATGAGTCATCGCTAAAATGCCGGTGTTTTCTTCACTCTCTTGCTGACTGAATACCTCTTTCTGGCGAATTCTCTTGTCAGAAACAGCAAAGTGTAAATGTGTGTACGAATCTGTAAGATAATTTATTTCATAGTGTAAACAGCTTCAGTGATTTTAATGGGAGTTTTTAAGCACATGGTGGAAAATAAGAAGAAGAAAAGGAATATGCAAAGAAAACTCATGGCGATGCTTTTCTCAAAGCGAGCTAGTGTGAAAATTGTAATGAAGCTAGTTAGAAGAGGTTTGAGATGTAGAGTTTGAAATCTCCTGCAGATGTTAAATCCAGCTGCTCCTGTTACTTGGCAGGTAATAGTATAATATAATAATATTGCGTGGCATTAAATGTCACTGGTTTTGATTTCCATACATGTTAAAGTTAAAATTTATTTAGTGTTCATTTTTATAGTTACTTTACTCTTCCGGTGACTTGACGCAGCTTTCATTAAAACAGAGATAATAACAGCTCACTGTGCTTGAAAATTCTGTTATGTTTTTCCTCCCTTTCTGATGAGGAACAGAAGGGAGGAACACAGCAGAGAATACAATCCTCTCCATCTCAATCAACGTTTTGTTTAATGGCCTTCTACAAGGTCTTTATATCAGCCAAATTGGCTAAGACACAAATACTGGGAAATGCAACTAATTTCCGCTAATGCAAATCATTACTGCTGTATTGTCATTTCTTCATATGAAGGTGTCGTGTCATATGTGTGTATACTTCTGAGAAAAGAAAGAAACTGCTAAGAACAGACTATTTTATTACCGTTTGGAGGGTTGGCTCAGTTTCCAGTCCTGAGTGTATTAACAGAGACAACCTTTTTCTCAGTTTTCTTGACCCCTTTGAGGTCGGATTCTGTATCACAAATTTATTTAGCACTTAAAAAAAAAAAAAAAAAAAACATCTTTGCCAGATAACATTGGGCTACTATTGTACATGTGTCAAGCATTTACTTACATGTAAGCCCATTTGATTTCTCATATCTATGCAAAGACCTAACACTTGCAGTTTTTACCTTTGTTTCTTCTCTTCCGAACTATTCCAGGTCTTCTTGATGCCTTCAAGGCCATGTGTCAGTTCAAATGCATTACAGGTGAGTTTTAAGCAGAGGTAATCTGATCACCTTCACATCTGCAGACCTCATGTTTTCCCTCATCCCTATTTAGGCATGACCTCCACTGTCTGGGTTTGCTCCCAGACCATATCACTCAATAATCGCCCACGTTCAGTGTCGACTGTCTATAATAAAGCAGTTTCCATCTAGTGACATCATGTTTTATGTTTTATAAACACATACCAATGTTCTTATTGTAAACTGAGAATTTAGAAGTGTGTATAAATGACTGTAGACTGTAAGATATGAAATTTCTTTTCTTAAAATGACTGTAAGATATGAAAAGTTTTTTTAAAAACTTTTTTTTTTTTTTTGTGAAATGTTTGTATGTATTTCTTGAATGAAATATCTGTAGATGTGACTCTCCTACAGAGGCGTCATGCCCATTCAAAGTGAGCACGTGCCCCCTCAGATTTTTGAGCCAAGTGGATTTTGAATGCAGCTTCCAAAAGACAAAAAATAGCCGATTAATATTTTCTATATTTAATACAATCACACCGGCGTGATTAGAACGTTTAGTACATCATATCATCAGCTGCTAAATTCAAATCTGTGTTCGCTGGCTGGCGCTGAGCCTACGTGTTTTTACAGCTCTGCGCATTATAATCAATCACACACATTGCTGTTGAGTTTATGAATGCAATGACCAATCAGAGGTGTTCCGATGAGTCATCGCTAAAATGCCGGTGTTTTCTTCACTCTCTTGCTGACTGAATACCTCTTTCTGGCGAATTCTCTTGTCAGAAACAGCAAAGTGTAAATGTGTGTACGAATCTGTAAGATAATTTATTTCATAGTGTAAACAGCTTCAGTGATTTTAATGGGAGTTTTTAAGAGTGCTTGTACTAGACTGTCAGTGAAAATGTTCTTTGATAATGTAAATGTTCTTTGCTCTCTTTCTGTACAATTAAAGTGTTATGATTAGCCTAACTTGCAATGTTTTTTATTCACATTCAATTTCAATGTTAAATTCACATTAAATATAAAGTCAGTCGTATTAAAAATATGTTATGGCATGACACCCATATCTGTTAATTAAGTAAACAGACAGGTTTTTATGCATAGTTAATAGACTACATTATTTACACTACATTATTACAACACTTTGTTAATGAATGATACAGTATGCTGTAGTACTAACTAGAGTAAACTGAAATAAATACTGTAGTATACTTTAGTTTTTACTACAGTAAACTGTAGTAAACTTATAGTATAATCAACCCTATAGTTGTAGAAAACTCAGTACAGTATTGGGTAAAGTAATTTGTTTATATTACTATAGTTACAGCAACTATAGAATTACAACAGCTAATTAATTCAAGTACTTTACTATAGTATGGTTCAAAAACACTATAGTATTTACTATAAATTACTATGGTATTTTTTCATGTGGGGCGTTTGGGAATGTTTCAAATAAACAGGAAAAAATAAATAAAACGTGCTGTTGTGGCTGCTGTGTGTCACATGACAAACCCCCTTCGCCACCCCCCGGCAAACGTTAAGAACCATACTGTTCATGTAGGGCACTCCTTAAGTTTGAGGCCTGTCACCTTTCCTAATGTTTCACCTTTCAGCCAAGCATTTCACAAGATCGTTTTAAAACACAATACACAAATGTGAAACGTTACCAAAAACTGTAAGCAATTAGTCATGCATTTTGTGGTTAATGCGAAATGAGGAACTGGGTCAGGAAGGACCATTTCCAGAAACAAGTCAAATGCTTTATTTCTTAAAAAAAAAATAAGACACTTATGTTTTGTCTAATGTGTGACTCAGTGACCAGGCCATCAGACCACACCTAACAACAATTTGCAACGGACTGACCTTCCTTACATCACAAAGAGCATTCTGATGGCTATGAAGAAGGTATTTGAATATCACGCTGTCCACTTGCTGCCATCCCATCTTTGTTTTCAGACAAAATGTTTGGAGTACAATAGCAACTGATGGCATGCATGCCAAAGTCACAAAGTGCATCTAATTGGTGCTTTGACCTCCTGAGAGCTGAATGGTAGTTTTTGTCTATGCACATCTTTGAGTTAAAGAAAAGATACAGCAATAAAAAACTGCCCTGTAAAGGCTTTTCACAAAGGGAAGGACAATACATTTTGACATTTTAACC